GAGTCTCTCTTTTATGGTTTTGTGTCAGAATCAGCCTCTCTTGGGTACTCTGGGGAGAAAAAATTAATAACTCATCCATTTTGTATACAACAGCTTAACTGAAAGTCTCCAAAATATCATTTCCTCTTCTCTCCTTGCTGGTGGGGTGAGGATGGGGGAGCAGAAATTGGTGTTGAAATCTACAAATGACTCTTTGATAGAGATGATGGATGACTCTACAAATGGAAATCTCTACTCAGAGTGTGAAGGGACACACAACTGCTTTGTAGAAAAGGGTGGTTTTTTCCAAAGGGGTTAACAGCAGGCACTCGTGTAAGCAGCCTCTCTAGGGTGTGCACATCTCCACACACATCAGTGTTTAAAATCTGATTACACTCTCTGGCGGGCCAGAAAACAAAGAGCTAATGTAGCAGCTCTGCAGTTTAATATCTCTTACCATTGAAAGTCTATATATAGAGCCTTCTGAGGTGAAACATTTGATAGAGAAAGGGGCAGCCCCAAAGGTCCTCAGGGCCATGGATTCTATGATCTGGATTTGGCAATTAGATTGTGTTTCTGCAACAGGGAGGGTTTGCGCTTGGGTAGCTACAACAATTGGGTGCTTTTCCAAGTAGAAGAATCACTGTTGCTCTGGGCAAAATGTCAAGGCTATTTCTCTCCTTTGGCCTAGTTTCCTGCTTCTCCCAGGTTTCAATCCTGGATCCCTTGCTGCTCACTACATCTTAACTGACATTTAAGTGGTGAGAATCTCCCCTGAAATGTTAACTGGTAACAACAAAAACCTCCCTAGGGGTATCTGTATTTTAATAGGTGATACTTTAAAGCTAAATAATGATAAAAGTTGACATATATTGAAGGTGTACTACCAGCCAGATGCTGGCTAACAGCCTTTCATAAAAGTTCTCATTAATTTACAGAAAGCTTCAAAGTTAGAAACTCTACCATAGTTTACTCATACAATATTTAAGCAGTAGAACTGGGATTTAGCATTAGGAGATTTTATTCCAGAGCCTAGGCTGATGGGCACCGAGCATCGCTACCTTGAATGAAATGCCACCTGTGAAATATGAGGCAAGCCCCCAAGAGGAGGAAGATATTTGGAGCTCCAGGAGCCTGCCTGGCCCACTTGCTCCTAGGCTGGTTTTGACTGACCTGTGAACACGAATTCCTTGGCAAATCTTTTTTGTAATGATGGCCTGTTGCTCTGGGTAGCTGACTCAACTTACTGCACAGCCAAGGGCACACTCTTCCCAGAGCAGTACTCCAGATTTAGTAGTGCACCCAGTCGACATTCGAAACAAACCAAACTCTAAGTGTATTTTCTACTGCCAAAGACCAAGCCTGCTTAGTCCAAACTATTGATGTGTTTGTTTGTTTATTTATTATTTAATTTTTTTTCTATTTCTAAATTGGATTCGAAACACCTTATAACATGAGCCCTGCATTTCATGGGACCATTTACTTAAGGGTAAACACTCAAGTGTTTGGGGATAGATTTTTTCTGCAAAATTAGGCAGCTGTTCATTGCTGTGGTTTGGCAATAAATATAGCTCTGAGCTTTCTGGCAGCCAAAGCCAAAAGGGAAACATGAGTTATACAGGAATAATACAGCATTATAAAAGGAAGTCATACTCATTTATAAAAATAGGCAAACTTTTTTTCTGGTACTAAAATTTGAGGGGAATATGTTACAGGCTTCCTTATACGTGGGCCTTTCCAGGCCATAATGGACAGTGTATTTAATAATAGTTTCAGGGAAGATGGAGTTCCATTCTTCATGTGGCTATTTCTCGTCAATAAATGGCCACAATCTTCAATAAAATCTAAGGATGTGGTATCAAATTCAATTCTCTAAGGGTATTTCATGTAATGATAAAAATCCTTCTAGTTCTAATCCACAAGTAAACTAATATAATGCAAAGCTGAAATCTAAAAAAACTATTTAAAAGTGCTTAATTAATGAATATATGTCTATGAATATAGTGAACCAAATGGAATGAACTTTCAAACAGTTTATGAGTAAATATAGAGGTAGCCAGCTATCATGAGGTCTTGTATGGGTTCACTAACAACACATTATGTAGGTCTTAGAGATGGGGTTTAAAAAGCAATGGTTTCTCAACAGAATTTCCCCAGCCCTGACGTTTCAAAGTAGATGCTCAAAGATGTCCACCAAGTAAGCAGGGCTCTACGCTTGTCACCCCAACTTCACCCCTTTAATTGGTTCCATGAATTGGGTTTTTACATAAGATTTTATTTGAAAAAAGAATTTCTATTGCTTTAAACAAACTATATCTGTTTTTAAGAACGTATTTTTTACTTTTTTCTTGCTACTAAAGTAATGCATATACGTTGTAGAAAATTTAGAAAATGTAGATTCACAGAAGGAAATAAAATTAGACTTACCTGTATTCTTACTGCCAATTAATAACTATTGTAATATTGGTCTGAGTTCATCTAATTATATGCATATACATACACTTGATTGAATATACTCATTCATACATACATATAATTATACTTTATTTTTTCACTCAACAACATGTAGTGAATGCTTTTCATGACATTAAATACTCTTCTACATTATTATTTTTAACGGCTGCCTAGTACTATATCATATCAACTTGTCATAATTTATTATATCAACCTTTTAATTTTTTATAATTTTTAATATTAATATAATTGCAATGGTAATCCTTATAAAGTGATCTTTGGATTTCTATTTATATAACTGCCAAAAAATAAAATCACTGGGTTAATAAGAAGGCTAAAGATTTAATGCATTAGAAAAATTCATCCAAATTATCCTCCAGAAAATTGTATCCCTTTATACTTTCACTGATAATGTGAGAGAGAGCTCATTCACTCACATCTTCACCAATCTAAATATTATTCATCCCCGCTAACTTGATAATCAAGTTCCACTTTATACGGATTTAAATTTATTATATTTTTATTGAGGAAAGCACTTTAATTATACGTCATTGGCAATTTGTATTTCTCCTATGGTGAACTACCTGTTTATGCACTTTGTCCTTTTTTTCTTACTAAGATGCTTATCTTTGTCACATTAAATTTTAGAAACTCTTTATCTATTAAGAAAATTAACTTTTTGACTCTCATATAGACTATAAATATTCTCTAGTTTGTGGATTTACCTTTTAAATATGTTTTATTTCTTTAGGTAAGAAAAAAGGTTGGTATAGATATTTTCAAGTTTTATGTGGTTAATTCTATCTCCTTCTTAGAAACCCCAAGATTTTATTAATTCATGCTTAGAAAGCCTAAATGTTTATTAATGATAATGTATCCTTTCTTATAATAGTTGTCTGGTTTTATTCTTGCATTGAAATTCAACTAGAATTTTTTATATATAATCTACAGGATACTATAAAGATTTTATTTTCTTCCTCAGTGGTTATCCATGCATCACAACATCCTTCAAACTTAAACTAAGTATTTATAATACAATGCCCATGTGTAGATATACATACATGTGTATGTATGTACATTTCATCTTCTTGGCTCATTTTAATATTTACTGAATCAATTCCCTCATGCGCTTTCCCCATATTCAACAGCTTCTTTGCTATACTTATGTATTTATTATTCCAGAAAGATTTGAAAATAATTCTGTGATGTTTCAAGCAATCAATAACTTTGGGATTATTATTGTGATCACATTAAATTTTAGATTAATTTGAGGAGAAGTGGTATTTTTACAGTGTTAAATCTTCCCACCCAGAAATATATCTCTCCATTTATTCAAGTTATCTTTTATAGCCCTGAGTAAATGTTTATGGCTGTATTCACATTAGACCTACAAATTTTTTGTTAAGTACTCTTTAAGCTATTTTATATTTTGGGGTACTATCAAGATTGGAAACTTTTTTCATTATAGTTTCTAACTGGTTATTGTTTGTTTGTGTTCATCTAGATTTCACTACACTATTTGAATTACTCTTTGTAGTTCTGAAACATAGAACTACAGCTGGTGTGAAGAATTAGGATCGATGAGCAGAATTTGTATTAGCCTCTCAGGTCCATGAGTGCTATATAAGCACCACCAGGGTGACTGAAGCATTGTAGGCACTCAATATCTCTTAAGCAATGGAATGAATGATTGTAGCTCAATAAAAAGAAAAGCTTTAAAAATCTGAATAACAAACTTCTTTATAAGGTAGTGAATGCCCTATGCCTAATAATATTCTTGCAGAGTCAGGATATTCCAAAGCAGACTCATATTAACTAAAGTAGTTATTTTAAATTACATTAACTTTCAATTTCATTTCCCTAAATATTAAGTTAAAATAGGGACATGTAAACCTGAGGAAATAAGAGCCTAGTCTAGAAGAATATCGTGGACATATGTTGGTTTTTCCTGCCCAGAATCAATTATCGCTTTCACTGGTAATAGCATCCTGGTGTTACTTAGGGAACTACCCCTCCACCATCAGATACCATCTCGTTAATCAAGGTATCCCACTCTTCCCTGAGCTGTGAGACTTTAGGAAGGAGATAGAAGGATGCATAACCGTTTGTACCAGTTCTTTCCAAGAACAAAACTCTGTTGAGACTAATTCTTCATGCCACAGATTCTTAGAACTGTCTCTGTGCCTCCCTTTTGAGAGCTATCATGCTTTCTTCCAAAAAATTTATTTCTGATTACAATAGCCAGAATCAGTTTTTATTGCTTACAAACAAAGAAACCTAAATGGTACAAAGGAAGAAATAATCCACGAGGTATTTCAACAAAAGAAACTGTACAACTTGGTGACAGATTAGAAGGAGAATCTCACAGACAGCACAGACTTCAGGCTAAGATACTTGGGACCATCTTATGTCAGGTGCATACTGATAGACAAACAAAAAGAATCAAGCCTTTAAAGACAGTTTGCACACTGT